AATACGAAGATTTCCCTGATTTTACAATGGACGAAACTATTGAAGACGAGTTTTACGAAGATGAAGATGTTTCTAGTGATGCCGAGAATGGAAATGATGTATCCGAATGATGTTGTGGTTTTTTAATATTAATGATTTTAAGACTTATTTATGTGTGTCTTCAGTTTGTTTAATTACGAAAATGAAGTAGAGTTTGAGTTAGCAAATTCATTGTTGTTCATTTGGGAAGTTGAGATTTGGGGTTTAGAAAGTTGTAGAGGTTATATGTTAAGGAAGTTGGGGTTTGGGGTTTGTGGTTTCGAGTTTTAGGGATATACAAACCTTTCCTCGTAAAATCCTCATAAAAAAAAAGATGGGACTGGTTAAATCCTCGTAAATTCCACGTAAGCATTTTCCTCGTTAAATGAAAAAGTGGGACTTTTTATTCCCTCGTAAATAAAAGGAAGGGATTGGTTAGTTCCTCGTAAATAATGAGGGTTTTACGAGGAAGTGTAAACGCGGGACTCGTGGTTTCCTCGTAACTGATAACGTGGGACTCGGGGTTTCCTCGTAAGTGTAACGAGGGTTTTACGAGGAAACCAAAATCCATATATAATTCGAGCCATCCAATTTCTCTCATTTAAGGTAATGCTCTTTAATTCCTCTCTAGTTAGTTTAGGTGATTAGTTTAGGGAATTTATACTAGGTTGTTTAGTTTAGGGAATTTAGATTAGGTTGTTTAGTTTTGGGAATTTAGATTAGGTGGTTTATGTTTTTTTAAGTGTTTTTAAAATGTTACTAATATATTTATGTTTTAAAAATGTTTGAAATTTTAACATTTTTTTCTTGATGGATAGAGCGCAAAAGCTTAAGGGTAAGCAGCGGCCGCCAGGCGGGAGTCATTATGGAGACATCTTTGGCCGTGAGCCTGGTCCTTGTACATGAACATCATCTTCTTCAGCTCCAGGTTCTTTGGTTCCGGATACTGTTCTCGACTCTCAGTATTCTCAGAGAGTTTCTCATTCGCCACATGTTCCCCCATTTTCCGCACCACCCGCACATCATCATATTCCAAAGGAGGTACCTCCTCCTCCTACTCATGCGGCCGGGGTTCATCCCGATTTGCAAGTACCGCCAAATGCTCCATATTCTGTGTACACCGTCGAGGATCTTCTCGCTAAGCCAGGCAGAGAAGGTATACGAGTCTTAGATCCCGACCGACCGGACAACACTTACTGGTATATTTCATTTTTAATTTTTTTTATTTATTTATAACAACATTAACAAATTAATACTTTTAATTTGTTTTTTGTTCAGGTTTGGGGTTGACGGATGTGTCGCTCGGAGCGTCACCGAGTGTATCAAAGGCTACTTCCCGGATACAACTCCAAACTGGAATATGACACCCCTCCACACCAGAAAGACGTGGTTCAAAATGTTCGATGTAAGTGATTAGTTACTAAAAAAACTTTATTTTTTAATTATTTAAAATTTTTAATATTCTTGAACTAATTAGTAATCTAATATTTTTTGGTTACAACAAAAATGGCGGTGGTCCATAGGAGTGAACGAGCGGGTGAAGAATGAGTTTGAGCATAAGTCGAAAGCACGATTGCTGGACATGGTCTCCAACTGGAAGGACGATTATGAAGTGGATGATTATGAGAAGGCGAAACACTTGCCTCACATATTTGGTGTGGGATGGCCTCATCCATTATTGGAACCAACCAAAGTCGATCAGAACCTCCAATAGCTGCTCCGTTAACCGTTTGACGAAAGATGAGTATGGCAACATGAAGATGCTTCACAGTACAGGGCAAAAACCTCACGCCGGAATCCGTCTAGGAATGGTAAATATTTAATAACTAATTTTTAATATATATATATATATATACATATTTTTTTAACTAATTTTTAAAAATATTTTTAGTCTGAAGAGACAAGAGTTCTTCCATCTCTCAATGAGCTTTACGAGAGGACCCACAAGAACAAGGCTGGGAAATTTGTAGATCATAGGTCCGAGCGAATCTACAACGAGATTGTTGCTCGGGGCTAAGAGTGCCAAACCCAGCCGACACCCATCATATTATCCATACCTGAAGTGGATCGTATTTACAAGGAGGTAAATTTGTTTTCTTATTATTATTATTCATTTAATTTAGTTTTTTTTTCATTAACTAACATTAATCTTTTATTTAAAGGTCGTCCCTAAAAAAAGGGACGTATTGTGGGGATTGGTTCCGTTAACAATGTCCCAAGAGGGACATCGTCTTATGCTCAGCAACGGGACAATGAGACTACTCAGCTGCGTTCGGAGTTGCACGCGACGCGTTCTGATTTGAGCACGATGCAAGCTCAAATGGGTTCTCTCGAAGGTTTTCTGAACCTTTTGGCGGTTGAAAATCCGCAATTAGAGATGATGTTGCGTGACAGGCGGGTAAAACTAGGGATTCCACACCCACAGACACATTCACCGCCACAGCCACATCCAAGCCGCCAGGAGGAGGAGGACGACGAGGAGATGGACAGAAGGAGAGAAGACTTCGTCCAGCAGTTTCATGAGCAACACCCCTAGTTTTTTATTTTATTTTATTGTATTATAAATTTAAAACTTAAATATTTATTCATACATATTTTACCTTTCTTCTATTATTTATATTTTAAGAATTTTTAAAATAATTTATTTATATATTCTTATTATATATAGGAAGAAAAAGGATTTGAAATAAATTCCTCGTAAATTTACGGGGAATTTACTAGGATTTTCATGTAGATTACTCGTAAATTTACAAGTCTTTAACAATAACATAGCGTGTAATTTATGATGAATGTTTTACGTTGCCTCTCGAGGATTTTTTGAGGATTTATTTACGTGACTTTAACGAGGAATAGCTTATGAGGAAGTGTTTATGTGGCTTTAACGAGAAAAACGTTGTGAGGCCTTTATGAAGAAATACTTTAGACGACTTTACAAAAAAAAATTTCCTCCTAAATTTACGAGGAAATTCGTATTACGACAAACGTGTCACGATGATTTACGTTTCCTCGTTATTTCCTCGTAAACCCTCTTTTACGAGGAAATAACGAGGAATAGTCGTCCTAGCTATATTTGTGTTTTCTTGTAGTGTATATATATCTTTGTTTTTCCTTTATCAGCTTTAATCACCTAATGAACTATACCTTCAGCAAGGACTGGTTCATGTTGATTTTCGACATTGCTTAGCTCTATGCTCTTACTCTAAAGCTCAACAAAATTTTGAATTTTTGTGACTACCTTGCTAGAACAACTTGAACAGTTTCATTAAGTCACTTTCATGGTTTTAGAGTTGTTGTTTACAATCTTTCTCTCTGACTCATGTATTAATATCACTGCAGTTATATATGATATTGGTAAAAATAAGTTTTAAGAGTTTCTCCGTTATTTATCTACTTCAAAATCTCATTTTTCATATCAATTTTTTACAAACATAATATATTATATTCAACCCGTTCAAATATTATTACAAGCTCGATTCAAACAAAATATTCCACCCATACCCAACACGTTGTAATAGTCCGTTTTTTCAAATCTTCAAGAATCAGTTGATGTTCTCAAACGTCAACATGAGAAGGTGAGATTCTCCTTGTTTCTTCGGATGTCTCCCATGCCTTCTCCAGAATAGCTAGCTCATGATGAATGCCTTCTCCATATCAACTTTATAGTATAGGAATTGTCACACAATGGTTTCTTATTCATACTGAGATTCCTTATAATATATGTGAAGTGCCCCCCACTAACCACTGAAAGGTACAACCGTACAAGCTCTGTTAAATATAATGTTGCAACTGAACCAAAAAAAGATTCGCTTGGTGGAAGCTCATTTGATGAAAAGTAATGTGTAAAGATTTGTGGACATCTTTCTGTAATGAATAGCAATTCAAGTTTCAATATAAAAGTATATTGAAACAATTGACAAGCCAGACCAAAATCAAGTGACAACAGAGTCTCTCTCTAATAAAATGATTCATTAATTACAGACAATGAGTTAATGAATTTGATCATATTAGAGAAACTTTCACATAGTTAATGTATCTCTTCAGATTTCACTCGATAATAGGCCGTGAAAGTAAATGTTCGCTTTAGATCAATTGTTCATGATAAACCCAATAGTTAATAGAAACATAATAAGCTAGAAACACACACACACACACACATATATCTTATGTTGTATGTCTTGTAATCTAAAATAAGGTATTCGTTCCCAAACTGGTAGTTAAAATCCTAAAAGTATGTAGATGGATTTGACCTTTTAAGGGGCCATGTTACGTTGCAGAAGTGAGGCCAGCTCTCTGATAAGATGTTTGAGCATGTTAGGGATGTTAATGAGGGTGATGGAGAAGACAAGGCACGTTATAGGAATCATGTTGTCCCACCTTCACCTTAATACAATCACATCGTATCATTCATCACATTACCTCATACTGACTGCACCTTATACGGCTGTACTTTTTCTTCTTGTTTTATATTTTGGGTTCAATGATTGGATTCCCCTGAGTTTAAGGCCTGTCATTTAGTTTCTATTCTATTTTTTTATTTGTTTGAATGTTTGTAAATCTTATATTAAGCACCCGCCTTATGTGAAGATTATTTTTATATTTCTTGTAATTATTTTGTCACATGTTCTACTGTTTTGGTAGTTAAGATCTGTTGTTAAAAGTAACCAAACATGTAAATGAGATTTTACTGAACCAAAAAAAAATCTGTCTAATTTGGTTTTGATTTCTTTAAAACTGAATTAACCAACAGCAAGGAAACCAAACCAAAACTGAAATTTGATATATGTTACATATAATAGCATATAAACGTAACATAACATACTGGAATTGACATTATCCAATGGCAAAACAAGTAAATGTTCAACATTATGTTTCTTTGGGGTTATTTATAAAGTTCCAACAAGATTTACCAATCAATGAGCTCAAGTCTAGTGTCCGAAGGACCATTTGATATGAGTATATGGATGACCTTGTTATCCACTGCTTTCATTTATTTCTTATAATAATCACAATTAGGTACAATCTCAAATTATCAACGTGCTTAACATATCAGATTCCTTTATGGTTCCGTAAATTGCAAAAACAAAAACAAAGAAACCGTACAAATGAAACAGGAATGTAAACTAAGACTTGATTTCTTTCAAACTAAATGAAAAATCGCACCGTGAATTCGATCAGAACATCATGGGGATTAATAACATCCGAATCAAAACTAATCATCGGATAAAAATTCACTAAAAGCTTAAGGAAAGAAGCCGCGACCACATGAAGATAAATGAGAAAGATGAGAGCCATGGCGGGCTAATATAAACTATACACATGGAAAATAAAATGAAAAAGAGATGATTCGAAATTTTTGTTGTTGTAATAAACTAATCAAGAACTGAGATTGTTTGAAGAGTTTGACTTGTCAAGAATTGACCACATGACGAGGACATCTTCATAGCCACAAGCCATGACATCACCTTGAAGCTCATTCACCGTTCTTCTCTCGTGTTCCTCCCTCGCCTTCGCGTTTGCGTGGCGGTTGTGCGACGTTTGCTGCGGTTGGTTAAAGAACGTCGCCGCTTTTCTGAATGGCGTTGCGATTGTTTTCTTCCATGAAGTCATTCTTTTATGGGTTTTGACAAAGAAGAAGAAGGTGATGAAATTAGTTTTAACAGTGGATTGCTTCTTTGCTTTTCTTTTGGAATTGGATTGAAGAGGAGACTTCTGTATTTATACCACCACATGTGAACACAAAAACTCTCTCTCTTATGATTTTTTTTAAGCAATGTACTAAAATAAAATAAAATAAAATAAAAAACATTAAACGAGAAATAATATTGGAGAAATGGGAGAGAGAGAGTGTGGTCAAACGAGGCAAGATCCGCGATAAGAGCATTCCCATGAACCCATCAATTCGATTTCTTATCCTCTCCCCACGTGATCTCCTTTGCTCACAAAACTAACCCAGTTTCACCGTTTTCTCACCTTTTACATTCAATTTATATCCCATTAAAAATGATAGTAGTTAAATTGTTTACAAATAATGTAAAGTATAATATGTTTTATTTATCAAAATAATTTCTGTTGTTATCAAGATTTCAAGAATAAATAAAGTAACCGCAAGGTGGTGGTGTAGTAGTAAGCAAGATTCAAGATAACCTAGGTTCAAATTATTTTGTTATATTTCACTTTGTGGTCACCCGGATATGGATTATGTTTTCGATCCATTTGAATGTCCATGAAAAGGTTTATATGTGGACTGTTGTACCTCTTTCTAAAAGTTAAGTGAATAACTAAAGTGGTTTAATTTCGATGGATGCGTCAAGAATTCATTTTATTGGGCTATAATTTTTTTTAATCCCTATTTTTACATGATAGTGATATAGGTTATTAATTAGAATTTATGTTACAGTTCATGATTATTAGGCCATGAAAAATTGTGTTATCATAATTTAATAAATTAATAATAGTGAAAAATTGAATCCTATACGTTGTATTATCTATCTACAAAAAAACATCGTAATTTCAGTTTAATAAAACGTCGTAATGGATTAGAGCCTACATGAATCCGTTAGACTTTTATCACTCTAAAACCCCTAAAGAAGTTAATAAAAAATGAAACTAAAAACTAGTCTAAGTAGATGACGAAAGCAAAGCTATAGAAAATTGTTGTTTTTAGTGTTTTAACAGTAATAGCTGAATGATAGAAAAGTCATAGAGATCTTGGGCTGTTTTTTCTCTCTTTTGAACATGATATTGGAGTAATTTCTCTTACGTAGGAGATCGGTTTGATAGGTTTATGGTGAAATATAAATGCTATTTCTGATCACAAACCATAGGTAGATATTTTTTAAGCTCCATTGTAGTAAGGTAGACATTTTGTCAAGCTTCACTGGTTGATATGACTACGCACATGACTACGCACAACGACAAACACAAAACACTTATTACATCAACTCTATATGGGGCCTTCCTTTCTATTTATGTTTCTACCCAATCTCATTTTTTCGTCATTGATCTTTGCGCTATTTCTAGATATTTTTCTCATATGCTCTCCATCTATCGCACAAGTTCAGACACATGTACCTATAAATGTTGTTTGGTCAATTTTATGCATTATGAATAATCATATGATATAAGTACCAAAAGTTACCGACTGTTACCAGATGAGTGCATTATGAATAATCATATGGTATAAGTACCAAAAATTACCGACTGTTACGAGATGTAAAAATAGAGTTTGATAATTGCGGACAACGCGGTACATAATATTCATTAATATTTAATCTGTCTAAATAAATTGATTTATAAAAACCCTAATCTCTGACGGCGACTAGATGGCGACAAAGAACACGATGGTTTTGTTGGGATCTTTTGCGTAGATCTACGCTCTTCAGTGTTAGATCGAGAAGGAATCGGCTAATCTTTGTTGGCTGGTGGTGATCTGTTTCTCAGAAATCGACCTTTGTCATTTTATTCTCTGTCACGAAACGTGATCGTTTTATTCTCTGGTGGTGATCAACATCTCGCACACTCCGATGACCGTTGTCTTTGTCTTCGTCCCGGCGGTAGATCGTGTGATCTCAAGGATTCGACCCTTGTCGCTTTCTTCTGTTCCACGGAATTTGGAAACCAACTCTACGGGATCTCAGGCACATAACAGCGGTAAATCGCGTAAGGACCAGCTAATCTTTGTTGGCTGGTGGTGATCGGATCTACCGGAGTTGGCTCTTCTCGGTTTGTGCTACGTAACTTGATTCCTTACGATTTGGGTTTTGTTTCGTTTCTCGTTTGAAGAACCTGACTACGGATCATCTTAACGGACCCTCCTTACGAGACCTGTTAACATATTGGTGTTTCTATTACAATATCTCAGTGAGGTGGGAAACGGTTGTAAAGAATCTTGAGTAGTTTACAAAGGAACAACATATACTCGAGTGGACCTTTGTATGGGATCCTCGGGTCGACTTAACTCTGCTCATATGGCAGATGCTAAAGGCAAAGGAATACTTTACGAGGATGATGATGAACCGATTAAACTCTCTGCACATGATGAATCCTTCGTTATAAAGGAATTCCGCATGTCTCTCATCGGAAAGGTCCTAAATCCTAAGAAGCAGGACGTGGAAAAGCTGGTGCAAAAAATACCGGCTCAATGGGGTCTTCAAGATAGAATTACAGAGAATGATTTAGGGAATGAGAAGTTTCTCTTTAACTTTAGCTCTGAGGAGGAGTTGAATTATGTCCTTAGGCAAGGTCCGTTTCATTACAACTACTGCATGTTTGTATTAGTGAGGTGGGAGCCTATCGTCCATGATGATTATCCATGGATCATTCCCTTTTGGGTTACGTTTGTTGGTATGCCATTGCATCTATGGACATATAGAAATTTGAGGGATATTGATGGTCGTCTTGGATATGTGGACACTGTTGACCTATCGGAGGGGCGATTGCTAATTGATATTGACTCGCGAAGACCATTAAAATTTAAGAGAAAAGTTCAGAGTCCTGAGGGTGATGAAGTTACCATTGAGATCAAATATGACAAGATTTTTAAGCATTGTACAATTTGTGGCCTTATGTCACATGAGAAGGGATATTGCCCTTTGGTGATTAATAACTCCCGCGGTACAGCAGAGAGAGCTCTTTTTTTCGACCGTGTTCATCTCCCTCACGATCCTCCAGCTCGTTAGTCTATGTTGGGGGACTCTCGGGTTACACGTGATGGTCTAAAGGGAAGTGACAATGCTTCAGACCGTATGCCTTTACTTGGTTCATCTCGTATCACTTCAGTAATGAATGATGGGAGTAAAGATAAATATTCACGCAGGCTTGATACACTCCATGGACATGATAAGAGAACCGGAGATCGGGGGACCTTCTACTCGCGATCAAGAATTGATGCTGACCATCACAAATACCATTCCAATTGGGTAATGCGGAGAAGGAACGAAAAGCAAGATTACTCGAGATTCAATAGCTCTCTTCATGGTAAAGGTCCTTATGACTGTAATGCCTCATTATCTTGGCGCGCAAAAGTAAGGAAACAAGATGATAATGAATCTAACAGCTTGAAGAAAGGCAGCTCGGTGGTTCCATCGGAACATGGCGCAGTTATAGAAGATCTGTGGCAAGATAGGGTGAACACTCAACTCAGTAGTGATGTTATTTCTTCAGGTGAATTGGGACAGAACAAGCGGCTGGCAAGTACCATAGTATCGCATGCATTGCGAATAAGTATGGAGAAAAATGTTACATTGACGAATAAGAGTGTGGTACGACCACTAACATTTGCATCACACCTTTCCCCGTATGAGGATGGTGAGGGACAAGTCATTGGCGCCTTAAGAGACATGGAGGTACAGCCTGAGGATGGGTTAGATGAGCAAATGCTGGCCGGTGATGATTTATTTGATGAGGAATTAATTGATTTGGAGGACAAGACGCACTCTCCTGAGGCAATATATTCATCGCGCAGGGACCATTCTTCAAACGACAGAAATATGGCTAGGAGCAGTAGCAGGAGAAACCCACCATTGGGGAATCAGGCAAAAAAACCTGAGTACCTCCGTCGAGGTTCTCCACGACTCAGAGCAAATATGTCTTCGTCTCATAGAATGGGTATAAGTGAGAAGCCTAGGCGATCTCATCATAGATCCAAAAGGACAAGTGAGGCAACAAACAAGGTTGAGGGTTTGATGGGTCCCTATAATCCATCCCCCCCTTCATCAATAAGGACAATCAGTTGGAACTACCAAGGAATAGGAAACAACCTCATAGTTCGACGTCTTACGGAGATGTGTCAGAAGCATCGCCCAGGACTTGTGTTTCTTTCTCAGACGAAGAATAGGAGGCTGCTGTTGCAAGACATTCAGGCCGACTTAGGATTTGATCGTTTGTTTACCGTTGAGCCACTTGGTCTTAGCGGAGGTTTAGCTTTTTTTTTATGGATGAATTTCAAGTTAATGTTTTATTTTCGAATAACAGAATGATTGACATTGAGGCAGTCATTGATGAAATAAAATTCTATATGACGTTTTTTTATGGGGATCATGTACTAGAGCGAAGAGATTTAGTTTGAGAACGTCTTACGCGTTTCTCAACAACACGAAATGGACCCTGGTTTATGATAGGTGATTTTAACAAAATTACCTACCATGAGGAGAAGGAAGGAGGCAGACAACGCTCAGATAGCTCCTTCCTACCTTTCAGACAAATGCTGAGTGACTGTGGTATGATAGATTTTCCTTTTACAGGAAATATGCTATCTTGGACCGGAAAAAAAGGGAGAGTTATGGTTAGATGCCGTCTTGATAGAGCTGTTGGGAATGAGGACTGGCATGAAAGTTCCCACATTCAAAATTTACATACATGAGGCTCTGGGGATCGGACCATCGTCCAATCTTAGCAGACATCCTCAGAAAGAAACCGAGGAGATCGAAAAATTTTAAATTCGACAAGAGGTGGCTATACAATGAGGAGCTCAGGCAAATCATTCTTGATGAGTGGAAGTCACCGGATTTACCACCAGATGCAAGTATTATGGAGCATATTGCAAGTTGTCAGAAAGCCTTAAGTGACACAACATAATCTGAATGCTGAGAGGAGTGTGGAGGAGCTAAAAGAAAAGGTCGACCAATTATCCTCTAACGATGATGCCACTACCGAGGAGATTGCAGCAGCCCTAAAGGAACTGTCTGAC